CCAGCTTATGGTAGTAGTTGCAGTGCTTAAACACAGAAAATCAAGAAGCCTTCTCATGCCACCCTGAAAGAAAATACAACTTGCTGAGTTTTCTATCATGTACCACCTGAAAGATGCAGGAGTTTCTGACCATAGAGCACTGAGAAGACTTTACAAAAGCCCACCCTAGAGGGTGAAGCTAGCTAAACAGTTCAGACATAAGGCACATAACCACTCATAACTTTTTTCAACTTAATGTTTCCTATCAAAAAACAGAAACACACCACCACTACATGCAAAAAAGCAACATAAATGAATAAACAATACATGGGCAGACTTCTAAGACAGTCACTTAACTTCATCTGTAGCTATTGGCCTTCCAGTTTGTTCCAGGATCTCAGACCAGACCGACAGAATTACTGCTTTCTAGACAAACTACAGCTAACTTTTCAGATTGATTCTTAGAGCTTTCCGAAACTGAAATTATATGAAAGCTGTTCGGTTAATGCTCGACACCCTGCTTGAAATATAGGTAGATCTCCCTAAATTGGCTTATACTTCCTGTTCAGGTCTCAGCTTTATTGTTGGCATGTGCTCAACTGCAATCGCAGCTTTGATAGAAGCATGGTGTGGCAGAGCCAAACAGAACCTTTTCTGCAGTGAAAAGTGAAATCTGACTAACTTCTAAGACTAACTGTTCTGGTTTGGTGGTTTTTTTGGTAGTGGGGAAAGGGCCCGAAGAGTGGCTCTGGTGAGAAGCTGAGAAGCTCCCCCTGCTTCCAAACCCAGCCAAGGGGCCAGTAGAGGGACAATAGATGACCCTCTGCCATTAACATACGAAATAACTGATGTGAGACCTGAGCAGAGAAGGACTTGGGGGAGAAGAGCTGTGCTGGACAGGGAGAGCAGTGCTGGTGGTTGGTGAGGAAGAAGGTGTCTAAGCAGAAATTTCCCTGCAACCCATAGTGAGATGGCAGCTGTCCCCCTGCACTCATGGAGGAAAATGGTGGAACATTCCCTGGGGGCATCAAGAGGGGTGGCTGTTCCCAAAGCAGCCCATGACTCTGTGGAAAGCTCAGGCTGCAGCAGCGCCGGACCTCGTGGGAAGGACGCATGAAGGAGAGGTTTGTGGAGGACTCTCTCCTGTGGGAGGGACTCCGTGGGGAAGCAGGGAAGGACTGTAAGGAATCCTTCTTCCTGAGGAGGCAGGAGCAGCAGGAACCACCAGCCTGTGAACTGACTCTAAACCCCCTCCCCTGTCCCCCTGTGCCACTGGGGGGAAGGAGGGAGAGAAACCGGGAACAAAGGGATTTGGGCCTGGGAAGAAGGGAGGGGTGGGGTAACATATGCAAGCCCTGCTCTTTGTGTTGTCTGTGTTCTGTGTGTGTTTGATTAGTGTGAAATTGAATTATTGTTTTTCCCCAAGTTGAGTCTGTTTTGCCTGGGACCTTAATTGGTGAAGAACCCTCCTTGCCCTTTTTCTCAACCCATGAGCTTTGTCCTCCTCACCCAGTGTGTGTATGTAAGTGGGAAGGGGATTTGAGTGAACAACCATGGGGCTGTTCCTTGTTGTCGTGTTGGGCCCAAACCACGACACTGATTTATAGTTTGACAGTGGAACAGATTTTCATGAAGACTAAGAATCCATGTTCTATCTCCAAAACAGAGTCACACAACTTCACAAAGTCTAACCACACAGCTTTGTGACAGCACTTAGGATTACTGATCTTCCATGGCTTTTTAACCATTCTTCACTAAGACCACATAACAAGTTCTAAAATGGGTCATCCCCCCAGATTATTATCACAAGCCAAATAAGATTTAGCCCTCAAGGATTAAGGCAGTGAACAACACTACCATGCAGGGAACTCTTCAGCATCTACATCCCAGATACTACAATCGGCTCTGTATAAACTTGTTAGATCTTGTCTATTTGATTAGTTTTTCCAACAGGCTTTTCAACTCAATCAGGATTGACCAGACATCACAGACAGGTCTTGCTAACATAGAAACACTGCACTCAGCTCAAAAGCCTGTCACTTTGTGCATGATAGCTGAACTTCTGTTCATTGCACTTATTCCATTCTTTACATGTGTACTTCTGTATGACAAGCAATCTGGTCTGAAGATATGGTGACACCTAATGCAGCTAATGCTGCATTAGAATGTGTAACCAGAACACGTACAAAGCTCTTTTGCAACCACATTCTTAAACTGATAAAATACTTACTTCTGAAGCTCTTTTACCTATAGATACCTAACAGAGTACTATGGATGTTAGTAGAGAACATAATAGATTCTCAAAGCTATCAAAGTCTGGGGAGAACTCTTTTATTAAGAATCAGTAAAGCAATTTAGAAAAGGAGGCTAGGAATGGGAATTTTTTCAGAGGAACACAGGGAAACTCCAATTAACTGGCTGCTTACTGCCCCCTCTAAGAATAAAGACTTTCTACTCCCATCATCTCCTACCATTAAAATGATCAGCTGTCTGCTTTTTGTGTATTTCACAGGATAAAACAAACAACCCTTTTTATGAGAAAAAATAAACCTTGGTTGCAGACTAATCTTGTACTGAATAGGGAAGCAGACAGTGAAACACTTGGCAAAATTTTCCATCCTGTTTTTCTACCTCTGATCAACACCAAATTTGCTCCCAACTACAACTTTTGCAAATAATAATTCACTTCGGTACCAGTGACTGCCGTGCCACATCCTCTTTCAAGAAAAACCTTCTTCTCCAGGCAACCAGCCAGGGCCTGCATTTTAACATTTCTCAACTAATTTTTACATTTTTTGGCCATGCATATCTATCACACAGCTCCAATTCCAACACGGCTTAGCAGTACTTTCACCTCAAGATTAAATAAAACATTATCGCAATGAAAAAAAAACAACTCAAATATACCTTCAATGATGCTGAAAAATCAAGTTTCACTGATTAAATTTTTCTTTTATTTACATAGACAGAAATATACAACAAATCAGACATCCCTCATAGTTAAATTATTTAATAAAGGTTAAATCCTGAGTTAGTGAAAGTTATTGCTTCACTGAAGTTGCAGAAATTGCTAACAGGCATTTTTATAATTTTGGCTCCCAGTAAAAATTCTTCACACAGCACTCTTTCAAAGCTTTAAATTTGAGGCAAAATACTAGATAAGAATAAAAAACTGAGGAAGATGGTAAATATCAGTGCAGTTTTAGCTAATTAGATATGCATCACCTAAAGTACAGTACAAAACATTTACTGAAATTCAAGACAAGTTATGAACTAAAATTCTACTTTAGAAATAATTAATAGTATTTTAAAAAAACACAATTAATGCCTAATACAGGGTTTGTACTTTCAAATCAGATACAATCAAGTGAGTGATGTTTAGTGTACGTTAATGGAGAAAGACCCAGTAGTTTAAAGATACTGATGGCCAGTTCATTATGATTACAGTAATTATATCTCTTACCCTATTCCATGAGTCAGCTCACAACCTCTGCCAATGTACCTTGCAACAAAAAAACCAAACTGGCTCTTGCCACTATCGTACACAACTACAGAACAACCTGAAGGAAAAATACCTGATCAGGAAACTGCGGTTCATCACAGCTCACACAAATTTAACTGTCACAAAATTTTCTTTCACATGTCCTGCAGACTTCCCAGTACTAATATGTTTTTACTTGAAAATGATGATGCATGCACAAAACCTGCTTTGCATGCATCCTGGCAACACTCATGATATGAACAAAATACTAATCTCCACAATTTGCCTCATGATATTGATGTCACAGAAGAGTTTATGTAGTTTGGAAAAAAGCATGAAGGAGTTTATTCAGGTAAACAGAATTCTGTGAATTTGAGAAAATAACATTACCTATTATGCTGCATTGAAAAAAACTGGGACTATAAAAAAGCTCAAAGCTTGTCAGCTAAAACTGTAAGACATTCTAAATCACCCACAGTCGTTTACAAAAACCATCCTGTGTAAATAAAACAAAAGCAATCCAGAGACATCAGACATCTTTTTAAAGATGACTCTTCTTGGAATTTTTCCTTATGGAAAGCAACCTGTATTTTAAGAAACAGTTAACATACTAGCAAAGTGCAATACTGTCACATTATTATCAAAAGTCTCTCCAGAGGAGATACCAAAAATTTGCCAATTCTAATAAATTAGAAGATAACTTTATATTTCCAGTAGATTAATTCTAAAACATCCACACAAGGAGTGGGGACCCAGCACTCCTACATACAAGACAGCAAGTCATGTGCTTATATGCAGATATGAAAGATCCCAACAGGAACAAAAGTAAGATAATTTGGTCAAACTTACCCACTCAACTTGTAACACTGAAGAGACAGGCAAAATGGTAGGCACCAAGTTTTTGGCAGAAACATATTATTTGGAAAATATAATCTAGATAAATAATTACCACATTCCATCACAGAATAAATTTTTCTGCACTGTGCATCTGCCAAGGACTGGGAATACAACATACACAAGCATCACAGCTTTCAGTGCTATTTTAATTACAGAAGTAGTATCTATAACTTTGCCACCCCTGCTCCCCCACCACACGAACAGATTTCTTTTAGAGGAAGGTCTTACTTCAAAAGAACAGACAGGATTGGCAGGCGACAGTCCCCACACGTACATAAAGTAGTTATATTTTGTGTAATACCTAAATAATTTCACGAGGCTCTTTTGAAACAATTGCCAATATATTATTCTAATGCTACCTCCTCAAATGCAGTTCTGATTTTTAAGAAACGCCGCTAGCCAACCTGCCATTTCAGTGAAAGGACCAAGGTAAACTGTACTCACATTGACACAAAGTATCCCCTAGAGAGCAGTAGTCTTTAAATAGTCAAACTGCTAAAGAAACACCATTTGTCACCAAAGTACTTTTAATTCTTGTAAAAGTCTCTGGCATCTTGTTAGAATGTATTTGTTGCTGGAATGTGTTTGCTCCAACAACATTCTGCATCAGAGAGGTTACTCAAGAAATGCTGCATTGTCAACATTAAAAGACAAAAAGGTCATAAGTGCAGGACCAACCAGAAAAAAACGCCCAGTCTGGAAACCTCTCCCGTAAGGCACTGAGTTGAGGTGACTTTTGATCTTCTCCAAAAAAGTAATGTGCTGCTACGCCGAGGGAGACTATTCCATCTGAATGCTTTTCTGGGGCCTGAAATTGAGAAAAGGGCAACACAATCTCATGTTTATAGCTTTTAAACATAAGATCAATCCAGATGTACTTTTTTTTTTTCCACAGACTTAGTACCCATGCAAGAAACTTCATCCTGCATCTCTTTGTTCTACATGTTAAAAAATACCTACTATCTTCAAACACATCAGCCTGATCACATGAGGAGTTCCACCTGAACTTGCAACTAGGTGTTTCACTGACAGTGCCTCTGACATGTCACAAAGCTTGCACATGCTCTAACTTCAACATCTGTGTTGGATTTGCTGACAAATGAAGAGATGGACTCCAACAGAGCATTTATGCTGATCCTTTTATTGTCATCCTTAGGATGAAAGGCCTTTTCTGCCTAGCTTTGTCACTATCAATCTTGCAAAGCTTGTCACTCTGCAGATTCCTGTCTGGTTTTAACAAGTACCCTCAGAGAATTATTTGGTTAAGTGCTTTCATTGCCTGATCCAGGAAGGAACAAGGGACTTTCTGAACCTCCAAATGCTGTTCAAATATTTATTCAAAGAATAAAACACTGTTAAACATACGATAAAAACATAGCTGCAAGAAATTTTTCATTGGCAAGTTAATGAGGTCAGGGGGAGTAATAAATCCCTTGCTTCCAACTGTAAAAAGCGCAAAAGAAAATTTAGGAAACAAAACTTTTACAACTCTGTTCAGCTTCAAGATAAGCAAGTTTCCCACCAAGACTCCCTGTAATTACCTAAAACCAAGGAAACAAAATACCCAAAAAGGAAACTACTCACAGTAGGAAAAAGACCTCTGAAATACCAGTAATAAAGATAAAACTTCAAGAATTATGATGCTAAAATCCAAACTTACAGCCTAAGACCATGGAGATGAGAAAGACATTCTCCCTTGGGCTGTTTGGTAAGTTAGTGGACTAAGCATCAAAAATATGTGAGCTGATACGTAAAGCTGAGGGCCAAATTCAAAGAGCAAAACTAGAATCAAGGTATTTCAAATAAAGCAAAGCTTAAGAAAGTTATTATGACTTTTTTCACCTAAGAATGCCCAGGTGGTGAGAACAAGGCAGACCAAGGGATATCTGGGTTTCCAGCAACAGTACACTCACCGTCAGTTCTATCCAGAAGTGCCAGGGTGTAGCCTTGAGCCCGTGGGAGTAAAATACAAAGTAGTCTCCTCCTATACTAGCAACTGGCACACCATCCCCGAGGGACCAGGTGGACAGAGCTGACCCTTCATGTGGCCGAAGGTACAGAGATATGTGACTTGGACCTGCAGAGACAGGGATACATATCTAGGTGTATCAACAGGTGGATGCCGAATAACCACCAGTTTTCCTAAATGTAGGATGTTATTTGTGCATTATTATTTGTATCTTCCAAAACATGATACAACTGTCCTCCCTGGAAAAGACACTTCAATAACTTCAATTATTTCTAAGCAGTGAGATGAGATGATGATGTATGAGAGGGATAAAGCTATAAAAATGACTTTAAGAAAGGACTTGCTATAAAAAGATCAAGGCTTACTCAAAATAGACAAGGTAATCAGTCCTTCAAATAACAGCTGTAACACAACACCCACAGCTTCTAGAGTGTTATAAAACTCAATTAACTCATGCTAATCTCACAAAGCTCACCATATTGGGAATGGCACTGGAACCTGCAGTACCATAGTTAAAACCTGATTTATTATGCACATAAAAATGAACACCAATCACAAACCAGAAGCTTCAGATACTCACCAGATACTTCAAAGCTTAACCTCACAGAGTTCCTGGGCATCAGCTCCTTTGACACAACTCTAAATTGAATAGGGCTTCTTGGAACAATTTCTGGAGCAGGAAGATACCAGTTTTTCCTATTAGAAACAAAAGCCCCATAAACTAAAATCCCAAACCAAACTTATTCTCAATATAACACTCAAACGTAATAAATAAACCAAGAAGTTTTTATATAGTATAGCTGACTGTGCTGCTAGTAAATGAAATACTCAAAAGCTACTGATTCTAGCAGAAGGCAGGTAAGATGAGCTGCTTGTGGCCAGACAAATATTTAAAGGGCATATTAATAGAAAAATAGTCACCAGTCTGTCCTCTTATTATCTTCCTCTTCCTGCATTTACAAAACAATAAAAAAAGTAAGAACATCTGCATCTTCAAACTGCTACACTTCTGCTCACAAGATTTTTGGAGTACAAGAAACAGTCACAGCAGTTAGTTTTCTTCTGTCAAGACCAGCTTCTCTAGACCTCCTCTCCTGCCAGCTGGGGTGAATGGGGGCAGAAGGGAAAACACATACATACTCCTACTCTGAGCTGCCCTTTAGAGGGCCTCTCCTACACCTCTTTTTTCCACTGGTGCTTACATTGCTTTTTCTCACTTCCAACACCTACAGCTCCTGCCGCAGACCCAAAATCTCTTGCAGAGCCTCTGGCAAAAAACACTACGCCTAGACAGAAGTTGAAGCACTTTCTCAAGTGGAAGTATTATTTACTTTTAGACCAAGATTAGCCTTACTTTTTCTGCCCTCACATATGCAAGACTGCACAAATGACCAACACACTTTGGCAGTTAAGTGTTTAAGTGAAGCAGGGTTCACACCAACCAGAACATGAAATGCACTGGCAGAATCCAAGGAAGGCCACAAAAAGGGGCTTGCTCCTCGCATGGAGTTCTTATCGTTTCATTGATTTCAGGTACATAGGGAGTTATGTGAGATATTCCATTATAATCAAATCCATTAATCCATATACCAGAGTCACTTTTAACCACATTTCCACCTAAATCATGAAATCTTCTGCTTGTGTGCTAGAAGAAGAAAACAAAAAAGATACCCAGAAAGATTATGGAGCCTGTGCAGGTTGCAAGAGTCAAATATCCTCCAAGTAAGTCCTTAAGGTTTACTGCATTTTCAGTATGCACTAAATGCATATCTGAGTATTTATTAATAGATATAGAGAATTGCTCAAATAAGAAAAACACACCATAAAAAACCCTACATTCAGAAGATAATATTGCCTGTAAATATTCCCTCACCTCCCATCACATTCATTTTTTAAAAAATCCTTGCTTACTCAACTTTCCTACTTAAAATCCCCTAAAAAAAACCCAACAAAACCCCTGCTCTTTTGACACAGATGAACAGAACACAGAAACTGAACAAGGACAATTCTTTCAAATCCATGAATAATCATTGGAGTTTTTAAATCAAGCAACAAAGGGAAAATTACTCCTGTGGGGGCGAGGCAGGGGCCTGAGGGTAGAGTGGGAGGTAGGTTAAGCTTTGAAGAAACCAAACAGCCTGACAAACAACAGAGGCAACACAATATGCAAGGCTTTTCTTACCTGGAGAAAGATGCGCTTAGGCTTTGGATTAGCTGCATTAGAACTGTAAGGGAAGAAGATTCCACTACACACCAGAATCAGAGTGACTCCAAACACAGTAGTTAAAGTTATTAACGTTGCTTTTGTGCTTTTCACAAGGTAAATGAAGTTAATCTAGAGAATAAAAAGACAGCCCAGCTATAAAACTGCAAGACTTAAGAAATAAGACACTATTTGTATAAATCTAAAATCCAATTATGGAACTGAAAGTATATTAAAAAGATATCAATCCAAGTACTACCTGACACAAGACACTTCTTTGTAATCTCAGGATGTAAAACCAAAAGAAGCAAAGCTCTTTCTAAAGCAGAGCTTTAGAAGTTTTTTTAAGCATTTGCCAACAAAAACCTAGCACCCCTCTGGCAAGGGCAGCAGCAAATATTTTTTTTTGCATGTAGTATATGTGTTGTTCACCCACACACTATACTTCACCCAAAATGAATGCCTGTTCAAACTCCAGCATTGAATTGCATATTTTACACCAATCTTTACTGTCAGTCATCTGTGATGATTTAGTAAATCATCACAGAGCAGTTATATTTTTATAACCCCTACTTCAAGAACTTCTCTTTTGAGTCACACAAAATATGGAGTCTCTGGCATACTTCCTAAAGTTTCCTTTAACATTTCAGATTTTGTCAAATTATTATAAAGTTCTACTATTAATTTAGAAAAACATTCATGCTAAACTCTAGAGAAAGTTTCAAAGTCTTAAACAACATGTTCAAATTCTACTTACAAAATAGGATGACAGAATTATAGTGATGACCACAATAAATCCTGCCAACACCACATCTGGAGGAATTTCTGAACCACTTCGTCCCATGATAGGTGTAAACATTTCAAATACAGTCCAACTAAGATACATCATATACAGATAAGGAACAAACATTCCCAGCATGTACATCATGACAAACTTCATTGTGGCACCTACAGGAGACGAGAAAAAAAAAACCCAAACCAAAACTGTAAAAGGATGTAAACATACAGCTTTACTAATATATCCATATACTTCTGCAGGGAATGAGGATCCCATTTAACATCGCCAATGCCCATGTAACTCTTTCAAAACTAACACAGAAACTGCACTTCCATTAAAAAAAATAAATTAAGCAGGTCTTCTGTCCCAAACACTGTTTAAATATTACAGAGAGAATGTTACTCGGTGTATTTTTTTTTTTAGAGCAGTTCTTCATGCTTTCAAACCATCTAGTTCAAGAACATTTTTTCATGTTATAAAAATGTCACATGTGTTCTTTGACTGTTCAAAATGCAAAGCATGGGATTTCTTTTGCTTAAATATTTAACTGAGTTTGGAGGAAAACACCCAATGCACAGTAATAGTGACAGATTTTGAGATACACCACTCCCACTGCCCTCTCCTCCCCCAAATGCATACCTTTTTGGCTGAACTCTTTATGGATGATCAGTTTAGTGAGTAAAGGAAATGCTATCCATAACGTACAAATAAACGCTGAACAAATGCCCCTCTGAGTTATCACAACCAAGGCTATAGACCAAATCATCAATGAAGCATCAAAAAAAATATCTCCCAGATACTGCTCATTCATACCCTGTAACAAAAAAAACGAAATACACTAATTACCAAACATATTCCATGTATCACATCTCAATAAAACACAAAGAAAAATCCTAATTTCTTGTATGTAATAGTTTTCCCTGGACAAAACAATTTTGACAGGCACGATCACACCATAGAATCATAGAATCCTAGGGGTTGGAAGGGACCTCGAAAGATCATCTAGTCTAACCCCCCTGCCAGAGCAGGGTCATCTAGAGTACATCACACAGGAATGCATCCAGGTGGATGGATCCAGGTGGATCCATTTTCTTGCCATTTAGAATAATCCATGACAGTATAGGTTTTTTTATTATTATTGTTATTTAAATCTGCTCTGACATGGCTTGAAAAAGGCATTACACAGCTTCGGAAGGAGGGAGGAAAGGAATGCACAAATGACAATACTGAGAAGATGGAGGGCTAATGGTTCAGGTACACAGGCAAGTCAGGGCCTTTTTATAAAATCCATTGGCATTTATGAAGGATATAAAAAAGTTACACAGTACTCATGTGTGAAAAAATTACCTATTATCTCCTGAGATTCTAAACCTGGTTTTGAACAGCATCTGTTAATTACACAAGCACTTATTAGTCGACAAATATTATAGTGGTCTTCTGATATATCATGCCACAACTTCAAAAGCCTGCTTTTTAAAACATTATTTGTTTTGAAAAAAATACACTAATGGGTCAGATAATACCAGACATGCTTTCAAAAAATAAAGCAGTTTAACCATCAAAACGTGTTTTGGTTTTCTGTTGTTTTTCTGTAAATTACATGGGCAATGTTGCAGTGTTTGTAGTGCAAGGTTTTCAATCATGCAGGATTACTTGCCTGAACAATGGCTATCAGAAAACATCTAGTTCAGTTTTGGGCTGAGAAAAAAAAAGCACAAGAAAAAAGAAAGGAGAAGGGAAGAAACATGTATGTTCCCAAACCTATTTCCAAACAAAAAGCTTCTTAATTCACACCAGAAAAAACTTACGTACTGCCTGTGATAGCCAAGTAAGAGATTAGCTTCCAAAGTTTTTTGCAACTTTAAATACAATGTAAGTTACAGAAGCAGCATAAACTGCGTGGTGCACTGCAAGCTACAGCATGCAAGAAAATCAAGACTCATGGTATCAAGTTGGTTAATCTGCAGATTAGAGGGAAGAAGATCCAGAGCCTGGAATGGCTGAATGGTTAGCAAAAGTATATTCTCCCATCGGCTCTTTCAAAACACTAGAAAATGGTGACACCACACCTATTTTAAAATGGCTTGTCTTTTCCACAGAAGGACAACTCCACATACTTATGTTTGTTAACACACACATGCCAGTTAACACTGCCCTTCCTGAAACAATTAAAAAACCCTCTTCCAGATAAAGGCATGACTGATCCACTCAGGACTTTCCATACAATCAAATTTCAGTAATTTCTTAAGACTTTTTAAATATTTGGATGAAGCTGGATTCAGCTGACAATTTAGGTTTCCTAAATTCCCTTGCCCAAAGCTTGTACAAATGACCAAGAAGGTAAGTAACAACAAGCTGAATGACTAAACATTATGGTGCCTAGAACCTAAACCTAACAGGGTCAAGCAGTCAACTTCTGTCCTGGGAAGAGACTGTCAGACACCTCAAGGCATCACCCCAAGGCCCTCACTCATTTTTAATACAAAACCATTACACCATCACCTCCACATTTTAATGGTTATAAGCTATAATTATGGTATTATTATATAAGTTAAATTGTAGTGGTTACTCTGTAAAAAAGAATGCTAATCAAAACAGGTACAAAGACAGTAATCATGAAAAGTGACAACACTGGAAAAGTAACACACTAAATCCTGACTAAGCCTTGCAGGTGTCTGAATATCCATTACCTATGGCAGAAAAGAACATGGGCTATCAAGAGCTCTGGTTCTATCTCCCTCTGTGGTCAAAATAACTAATAATCAGAGTAATTATAGGGAGAAGGGTGACTACTCACATTTTTACAAAAGCTTCACTTAGAAAGCACTGTACAGCACAGAAGACTGTATTAGAAAAGGACATGACAACTAGAAATTCTGATAGATGCAAGAAAAAACCTCTCATGTGAACCATCTGAAATATTGGTAATATTTGCTTTGAAGATTATGAATACAAGTTACCCCACCAAAACAAAACACATAATAAAAAAATAATGAGAGAAGTGGAATTTCAAGTTTTACAACCAAATGTAAATTATACAGTAGACTGAATAAGTAATACGAACATTGAAAGATACATAAGGATGTACCATACCAAAAATAATTGTTTTCATTTAGAGAACCTGTCATACAAGTACACATTTGAGTATAAATGTAGATGCCCTAATTACCAAGAACCTTGAAAGGTATCCAAAATCTAAATTCTCCAGATCTTGTTCTGATCTCTTATCACTGAAATGATGGCAGGAAGGGAAGGTGCGGACAGTGAAAAAAACTGTTTCTCATTCTCTCTTCTACTGTCTTTTGACTTTTTTCCTGATACTCCAAAAGGTCACTAGCTAAGATAAAGCCTTAGATCACAAAACTCTTAACTCTCTGAGTTAGTAGGGCAATCCCTATGCTTAGATAAAGCAATTTTTACAGCAACATTTTAAACACTCTTGTCCAATACAGAAAACTTTTTGTATGTTTTTAATGAACTCGAAAATCAGGCCTTCCACTGACTAAACACTACATTACCTTTGAACATTAGAAACAAAGTCAAACTTACCTTATAGAAGAACTTCTTGGCTAGCCTATGTACAAGAATGAGCTTAGCTGCAGCTGCAGTTCCATACAGAAACACAGAAACATAGAAATGGGTGTACCAAGAAAGAGACCGTCCAATGACAGAGACAAACGCTGCCACAAGAAGGACTGTCACCAGCGCACAGACCCAGCTGAGCAGTGTTAAGCCAAATGCAGTAAAAATTTTCTTCAGGTTATGAGTGGCTATGGAAAAAAAAAAAAAAAAGAATTTTCATTCAACAGTCAGGTATTCCACTTCAGGCCACCATGAAGACTGTAATGACCCCACAGTATAATGGTTGCAACTTTTTCTTTGTCCAAAACTGTTTGCTGGATTTTGGAGGAGGAAGGGGAGAGTGGGAAGGGTGTTTGGGTTGATTTTTTTGTTTAAAAAGGTAGGTTCATATACACACCTGAAGAGGTCTAACTAGAAGATTTAAGTTGTTTTACACCCTTTATTAAGTTTTGTTATTCTTTTCCCAATCTGTTGTTTTCCTATTTGCTCCTACCTATGGACAGATTGTTAAAGGATTTTGGAGACCTACCTACACTAACAAAGTGTTTAATATAGATACTAAGTAATTTTTTCCCCCCCTTTTCAAGTCCTTACAAGATTTCATTCTAATCATGAAAGAATGAGAGACATAATAATGATTCATAAATGCTACACATCTAGGCCTATCAAAGTCTTTTTTCATCATAATTATTCACAGTTGAAAGACTTAAACACAAAGCAAACCCTATGGCACGCCACACACCTAACATTTATTTCTGAAGTTTATCTAAACAGATACCATAATTGCCTGAATGTTTCTTCATCTATTAACTGCTACTTGTTGAGGAAGGGTGTGTCTTCTTTTTTCTAAGAACTAGACTTACCTCTGATTTTGGGCTGTAATACTTTCTTGCCTAAATAAAGAAAAGCAATTGCTGCTGTAATATAGTTCACGATGGTGCCAACACGAGCCGGATATGCAAGGACAAATAAGCCGAGTACATCAAAGAACACAACATTTCCATGTCGATACTCAAAAGATTTCGTCAACTTATCTGAAGTTGCCAAGTATTTTAGGACAGCTAGAATATTGTCACCTATTAAAAAAGCAGATACAAAACATAACTATGTCAGGGTTCATGAAACAGTATACAGCATTCCTTTAAAGATAATCATTCTTAAAAATTAAACTGTATTGAAATACCCTCAACATGGATGGGAATATACAACTGATCATTTTGCAAGAGGTATTTGATGGTATGCACAGCATAGTATTTTCATGAGTTAACTAGAGCTATCACTACAATAACTATACTTGAGAAGCTTCATGCATGTAAACACTGCAGCAATGAAGGAAGCAGTCAAACTTTCAGTCCAGATGTCCTTTTTCAGATCTGGTAATAAAGCACTGCACTTCAAGGGTAACGCATAGAAGAGTTCATAATCTATTAATCTTTCTCTTTTTCTCCACACAACTAGTAACCCCTCTATGTCTCAATGACAATTACCTGCCTTTCTTCCCCTAGATGATTGTACAGTAAGAGACAAGGCTATTTTCCTTTGCAGCCTAAAGGCACCAACCACTTTTTCCTTTCCCACAGTACAGGCAAAAAACATGTAATCAAATGAGAGCAGCTGCTCTCAACTATCATATTCCTTTTACTTTACCTACATACAAGTGCGTACTGACCTGAAAGTTTGGGGTTTTTTTTATTGTTGTTTTTTTTTTAAGGTGTGACACATTTAGCAAGAGATGTTCTATGTAACCATCACAAGCAGTACAATAATTTTTCCAACAGGAATTTACTTGTCTTGCTTTTTGTCTTGCAACTGCATTGGCACAAGAAAGTGTTTAAAGCTCTTACTCATCCTGGACATCTAGGCTGGCTTCTGTCAATGGGAAACAGTCAAAATCGTGGAGGGATTTAGGATTATCTTAGTTTTTCCTGGGAAAATAAATGTCTTTCTCTAATTTTCTTTACTGCTGTCTGTCAAACAGCCTGCTATAAGCACAACCTGTTAGTAGAAAACAAATTCTGTTTATCCACAGTCTGCGTGCCACCACAAAAATTTGTATGGGATTCATTCTATAAGAAAAACCTCTGTTGGCAGATCAGTCTTCAGGTCACCAACTTAACCATAAGCTTCTAATGATGAATGTTACTCAATAAGAGGACTTATTAAGAGAAAACGGAACTTAAAATCCTGAAGAGTCAGGTATCAAAGGCTAGATTATAACCTTAATTAAATTCCAGTTATTTCCAAACCAGCATCACTGGATGCTCATAAAATTTGTTTTCCCAGGTTTACCAAATACATTTCCTTTGTATTTTAAAGAAATGCATTCATTAAATTCTTCACTCTTGAGAACACGTCTAGCATGTTCTAAATTTCTAATTGAAATTATGTATTTCTTGTGATGGTAGTCCTGCAGCAAAATGAAAAAGCAGCTACAACATTACTCTTTGTTAAGTTACCAAATTACTGAAATACCAACCGGCTCTCTGGATGGAATCTGTTAAAATTCTGTCTGATGTGTCATACTCTGTGTGATAAATGTAGCCATTTTCAATAAAAGCCAAGTCTATTCCTACAGAAAGAGAAAAAGCATGTTTGAATTTATGTAAACCTAAAACCTCAGAGCAAACATGTGAAAGCCTCAGATACTATTTTCACACAAAATGTTGCTCTATGTTGTAGCCCACTCATTATCCTTAAAGATGATCAAAATGGTCAGCTTTGTAGAAGAAAGACTAGCTGGGACTCCATGTGTCCTTTAAAAAGGACATTTAAAACACCTGTCATCTTCATGTCTTGATTTGTATGACACTTGTATACAAACCAATCTCTGCTGGACAAGCATGAAAATTCTTAATCATATCAGCTTCAGAGAAGATGTGCAAGGTGCTATCCAAACATTTGCTACTAAAACATAAAGAGATCCATGCTGAAATGCAGTAAAAAGCAGCACTGTGGAGCTATAGAAACACCTTCTCAAAATACCACGGGCCTATTTTTTTACTTCTGACTTGTAAACAAATAGGCAGTCTGAAAACTCCTCTTCTAAAAGTACAAATAATTTGTAAAAATATAGGAAGTTATTTTAAAAAGTTTTCTGCAAGATTAGTTACACATATTCCCCTCAGTAGCATATACAAAAAGCTGCTGTCTGCAAACTGAATGCTCACAATTTTGCAGATGTTTAACAAACCAGACCTCAACACTACCAGTGGACAACGAGGAACAAACTAGTTCTTTACTTCAATTATTTAATTTCTATTTGTTTAGAAAAAACAGGCATCAGAAAGAATTCCTTTACAATTTGTAATTCGGGTTATCACTCTGAACATATAAAGAACACACTGTACAAAATCAGCTACTTTATTTTCAGGCTCGAACCATATTCAAAAATACCACTTTTCTTGAAAATGACTCCAAATATGTCCTATGCCAGACAGGAACAATGTTACAGAAGTTTATATTCCTTTTGTGTTCCACAATTGTTGCCACTGGTCATTCTCTGCAGATAGCAAACTCTAAACACAGCAAAACCAAAAAACTGCTGTCCTGTGCTTAATTATGACAAAGAAAAAATAATGGAATTGCATCAATTAATAACTCACTATCTTAAAGACAATTTTTGTTTATCCATTAGATAGACATTTAATTCCTGCAAGCAGGTCATTAGCATAATTATCAAGATGTTTGAAAACAGAACATTTAATAGCATACTTTAATTCCTGGAGCATTTTCCTGATTTTTCAGGAATTTTCTACCACATGGTGTCTTTAATGAAAACAGCAGTCTCCCCCAAACCATCCTTAACAACCTGTACAATGGAAGAAATCTAAAGGCTCTTGCCTTAGAAAAAAAGCAGGAAAATTTGCTCCCAAACTGAAGGACAAACCAAATCTGAGAACCTTCACATTAGTGAACTATAGAACAGTTTCCTTACTATAAACTTAAGACTGCACAAGGCTCGTTGACATGTCTTCTGCTAACATACCTGGAACATTGCCAAAGTCTCTGTAGATCCGGAAGTCTGTATCTGCTGGGATAATACCACTCTGAAATACTTCCTGTGCCACCACAGAGGCAAAGGGATGTTTGGCTGCAACTACATATGCTTGTACCAACCAAGGATTCTCAGGTCCTAGCAGAAGACGAGCAAAAAGTTCACAAATACTTTTTGAACTTTAGTTAAGATTTTATCTTTGTGGTTACAAAGAAGTAATAGCGAAGGAACTCACTTGAGTTTTAATGCTGCTGCTCCACAGGGTATATACTATAAGGGCATTTGTGTTGGCTGAATGACTCACACTTCAGAGAATGATTTAGTTACACTTCAGAGGAAGAGAAAAAAAGCAAACCACTGATGCCTCTAGTATTTAGTGGCACAGCAGATAAGCCAGCTCACAAAAAAGACCCAGCACTAAGAACACAACACCTTTAGCAGAGTTTCCAATTAAGCATCCATCTATCACACCTCAAAGTTGTTGTTTAGAGAAATGTCTCCACTAAAGCATTCCATGCAAGTAAGCAATTAAGCAGCTCCAGCAGTAGAAGGAAGTCTGAAGTCCAACAAGGATGGAGCAAAAGTTGAATTGTAGCCTACAAAACACAAAAGTTTTGCTGCTTCCTGAGAAGATGTCAACATCTCCCTCCAAAGAATCTGAAAGAGCTGCTGTGAAAATTAAATAAAGCATATGAAAGTATAACTATGCAAAATGTAAAAGATGTCCAAATCTGTTTTTCACCTATTACCTTGACATAAAAGGGAAATACAGATCATGTAACTTTGTACTACACAGGATTCCCACCTATGAGGCAACTTCTGCAGCAGTGCTTTAGCCTACATGTATGCAAAGACAGAGAGCAACTTACTTGCTGCATAGGCCTGGGAAAGAGGCACAGACGTTCTCCTGTCTTTTGCTTATGAGTCACTTTCAACACTCCTTCAAGTCTATATTGTTTATTATCAAATTATTTTGGTGTAGAAACTGGACACAGTGCAAGCTCATACCTGTTTGAAAAACAAGTTCTTTTCCTCCTACACCTGCTGCCTCCAGGTTAATAAAAGCTCTAATTGACTTGGCCCACTCATGTTGTGTAATGAAGCCATGACTAGCCTTGATGGGGAAACAAACAAACAAACAAATATATAGGTCAAATATCTTCCAGACCAGCCTAAAATTTATTTTCCATTATGATCATAACTCAAGATTTGACGAGGCAGCCAGATCACTTACAACATAAACAAATGCAGAAAATCCAAGTCTCTGAATGAAACTGATATTTACAATATTCTTAATCTACGTATATTTTTCCCTTTGAAATCAAATACATTTTCCTCAGAATGTTAAGATTGACATTTAACTAATATTTCAATAGATTAAACACAAGTTATATCTACAGTTACTCCGTTAACAGAGTCTTAATATACAGCTTTAATGTGTGTATCTCATAGTTCTGGCTCATTCTCACCTGTAAAATATTTTCTTCTGCACCATTAAATAAGAATATGATGGCATGCTGTAGGGGCTCTGATAATTTTGAAAGCGTGCTAAGTATTTCAAGCATCACTGCGCAGCTAACAGCATCATCACTGGCACCTTAAAATAATCAGCAGAATAGTATGGTTTACAACAGACATGCAGAATTTCAACAAAGAGCAGACAGAAGCTTTATGATATCTCAGTTACTTAATCTAACAAACGTACAGTTATGTCAGGCTTTAGTGTATTTTCTGCTAATGCTTGTACCCTGTGTCTATACTTGTTAAAAGCAACAGCATAAAGAAAAACAATGCTCAAAAGTTGAGCAAGTGAAGTACAAGGTATCAAATCCAATACTGCTCTTCCAGAAAAGCAACTAGCTAGGTTACTAAGCAAAGTGGTATTTATCCATTTTCTAAGAACAATACAAACAAACATGGACATAACTGTCACTTTCACATTTCTGAAAAATAAACATTCCTACACAAGTCACTCTATGGCATTCTCAAACTGTAACTCATTCAAGTAAGTGGACAAGATCTCAAAGTAATATTAGGCCAAGACTGCAAAACAGGGCAAACATCAGACTTCATACCTCTAAAACATTCTTAAAATTAAAGTACACAATGTAATACATTATTGTAATTATCACATTCTTTTCATCACCCTTCTTTCCTTGCTAAAACCTCCTTTTGCTCTGAGCTCAGCAGTCTGTCTGCTCTCTCTGAGGTCCTCATTCAACACTATTCTAGACTTACTCTCACTTCCTTACCCCTCCTTCCCATGCCCTGCCATTTTTTTATCTTGATTAAGGAGCCATATTTTAGTCGAGGTCTTCCCTGCCCCATTTCCCTCACTTTGGTGCAAGCCGTAGCAACACCCAACCCCACTCTAAATAATAACATCTGAGAACAAACTGAAAAATGTAACTTCATTCCTTTAAGCCTGGGTTGCATGTATGATGCTGACTTGCACTGAGATGACAGTGTGATCAGCCCTTAGCACACTAATAGGGCAGATGAGTTAGCTGCTAAAACTGTTTAATTTACACATTAAAAAGCAGCTTTTTCTAAAGACATATCTGCCCTTCCATGAAAATGGCATATTCCTGATACAAACTCAAAACTGTTCAAATTTAGCCTTAGGTTATCATATGAAAATACTTCAGAATAAATAAATAAGCCCAAAGTCTTTCCAATACACTGTTCTTTAATCTGCTTCTCAGAAAATTAATGTTTTGCTCTGCCAAAAGCTTTCCAAAAGCCCATCCAAAAGACCGGATTTAAAGGCCTAATTATATTGTTACCAGAATCAGCAGTCTACTCTTGGCCCCACAGTTCTTTTATTTAACTTATGCAGTGTTAAAAACTCAGCAGAGAGGTGATTATAGCTTTCAGTGAGATTAATCACCTATCTGCCTCGCTGTGAGACTAAGAAAAAAAGAAAGTTATTGGTTTCAACATACAGATTTACATCTGACTAAAGCAGCCATGTAGCCACAGACTATGACACAAGGCACAGAGCAAGTATCATCTTCAAATACTTCATACACAGCAAAACAAACGGGAGGTTAAAGCAGATGATTTGGCAAATATCAGCAACCTAAGAAAACCACTTTAACCTGTACATCTGCAGTGATAACATCAAGGATGTTTCTGCCTTCAAGTTTATCAGAAAATAATTAAATAAGCCATATGAACTGAAAATTGGTAGGCAACTGTAAGCAAGTAACTTGGAAAAATACAGAAGAACAGGAAAAAAAAGAAGGCTCTTCCTTAGGTTATGCACAGGTTTTACACTAAAGAAACGAAAGACACTGCAGTTCCTCACTGCTGTGACACGGGGCTGGGCTGCTTTGTGATTAAGGGCAAGCATACCAGCCAATTCCGAGCTCCTCCAGAGTACAATCCTACACAAATCACAAATATTGTTTGGCACTTCTGTGAAAGGCTGGTGAAGTATTTTACTGAGTAACTGTAAAGAGAGTACTTGATGTAGACAAAATCCTGTGCTACAACGCACAGAACTGGGAACACAATTCCTACAGGGCATCAATTTAAAAGACCCTTCTCAATAATCTTAGTATTATGTTTGTGAAGTGTTAAGTCTAGGCAGCCATATTTAGACTAAAAATACAGTAATTAACAACTCGCAGTTCCTAAATCACAGAGCTTAAATGATGATGATGATGATCATAATGCCGTTATTAATGTGTATTTGGGAGCATATCTTGCTCAAATACAACTGAGCAGAAATTCTGTGCACTCTTTGTTGACAGAAAAAAGGCACAGAGTATAGCAAGTGCTTTGCTTCTCTAGCTAATATGCAACTGCTTTTGCAGTGATGAAGACTATTTACAAGTGTTAAACACCAGAGGGTTTATCCCCCAAAATAAAATGCTGTGTGGAGCAGAGAAACACAAAGAAACTTTAGTAAAAGCTGTGCTGTTAATGGATACCATGAAACCTGAAGGTATTTTTTAACTTAATACTACTGAGATCTGAAGGTATGTCTCAACTGCAGCAACAGGCACACACCAGTAGGTGAGTGTTACCACAGATGTTTTTGTGTGGTTTTCAGCTCCCTACCTTCCTGGCACCGTTAAAATAATGTATTTACAATGCTGCTTACATGCTTGTTGTAATAATTATTTAATATTATCAGATTTATAATAATGCAGACTGACACGAATAAGAGAGTGACAGTGAAAGTAGCAGTGAGAGAGGTACACACTACCAAGGTAGCAGTACCTTACTACAGTCTTTTCAGTGATCTTTGTAGTGTTTTTGAGTGCAGAAAGAAAAGAAATATTGTCAGAGATTAAGGATATCACACTGTAACTTGATATAAAGTACAACACCAGCAAAGGGAGGCAAAAACAGATGGATTAGTGTGGGTGGAAAGAGCCTCTGGCAGAAAGCATCCTGTGAAAGAAAAGCCAGGATTAAATGCATAACAAAGTGTGGAAGGACCTGAACAACAGGTGGAAGCAGTACAGGTACTACATGCAGAAGCAGTGAATTACAAGGCAGATACAAGCAAACTTTCTAGAAATCTAAGTAACTTGCTGCCTACTAGAAAGCAAGCAAGAAGTTGTGACTTCAGCAGGCTCTACCCGTCACTCTAAATACTGAATCTCACTGAAATCAAGCAGACTAGCTGGTACTTGCACTATTCCAGCACGTGGCTATAAGGCTACTTGGTATGAGAACACAGCAAGCCCAGCTGTGTGGCTCACGTAACAGACAGAAAGGCGGAAGGAACGTGTGGACCTACCCGGGCTATTTGGTACGGAATCAAAGTGACAATTGGATAACACTGCGTGCTCAGCTCCATTTCGGGGTTCCAGCTTCACTACAATATTGGTTATGTTTGCATAGTAACTAGTAAAGCCTCCTAAAAAGTCAATGCTGAAGGAGCCCGTGGGCCTCTGTATGTCTACATATATCTTGTGGGCATCTGTGCTTTCTCTTTCTATTGCCCTAATGTGCTCTAAGAGGTAGTTAACTGCAAGAACTTCATTTTCTGGACTTCCAACTGTCCTGGGCCCAATTGCTGTTATGTTGTCAAGATATCTCCTGTAAGACATAAATTGCACATTCAGCATCAACACGTTCAGCATTTAGTATGTAACTTACGTACAGCCGTAACAGTTTCGTACATTGCTCTATTTCAAAACTCAAGATAAGTGGAAGAGACTTAAAGCAACTGTGTAGCAACTGTAGTCAAGCTGCCAGAGATCATTATGGCCACAGGCATATTGCTCTGCTCAGGGGCTCAGGGCTCCTCATCCTGCCCATCATGATATGGAAACAAACTACTGGTTTCTGCGTGAACATACCAACCCGAGCAGAAGCAGCAGGGAGATGCCAAAGGCTTTACCTTCAGC